CAGGAGAGACCGGCCCCGGCCAGAGGCGCCCCCCGCGGGGTCCCCCCGCCCCGCCCCGCCCCGCACACCCTGGCCGGGGGGCTGCTGGAGCAGGCTTCCTTATTCCTGTAATTAATTTGTTGTTGTGGTTGTTGTTGTTGTTGTTGTTATCGTCACCGTCGCCGTTATTTAGGTTCCACTCGTCGGAGGTTCACCGAAGAAGGAGTCCGGAGGGTGAGGATTAAGCAGGAAGCCCCCAGCCCGGCATCACCGGGGAGTTCCGTCCATCCAGGGAACGGGAGGCGGTGGGAGTTGAGCGGCCCCTCGGGACCGGGGCTGAGCCGCCGCCCTCCCCACCGGCCTGGGCGTGAGAGGGGCTGGGTGCTGCCCGTGAGCCGCGCTCGCCTGCTGCTGGGGGTTTGTGGGACCCCCGGCTTTTGTGTGTAAATCAGTTCCCACCCATCCTAACTGCAGAGAAAATCTTGGAGACCAGAGCTCGAGGACAAAACCCCAAAGGTAAAACAAACTTCAGAGGCATGAACTTTTTAAAGTACAGTATGTTTTGTAAGCAAATCTCTATTTTTCACCCACACCCGGTACTAACTGTACTGTTACTTGTGTAAAATCAAGTCCAAAGGCTCAGAAGGCACACACGTGTGCACAAACACCCTTTTAGAAGGTCAGGCTATCTCCAAAGTTTCCAACTAAAAACAAAATCAAGAAAGGAAAACAATATACAGGCATTGCCCCTAAATATATAAAGAGAAGTAGTATCCCTCTCACTTTTATTTTGTAGGCATGATGCATAGTAAACAGCATCCTTGATAACAACATGTTTTTATAAGTAGAATGAGGTTTCCAAACTTGGAACCGAGAGGTTTCCAAACTTGGTTCTATACTTTGTGCGTGCCACACCAATTGTCTGGGGTGATTTGCACGGATGATTGCAAAAATACTACATTATTAAACTTCCCTCCATTCTTTTTCTCATGGAAGAGACACCAAAAAGCATATGCAGACATCCCAGTGCTTTTTGAAGCAACATAGATTTTGAGGCAATATGGATTTAGGAAGGAGGTTTGTTTGTTTTGCATAGGTTGTTTTATTTTTAGCATCAGTCTGCTTGCCAAAAAGCAGCTTCCCAGTGTGAGTGAATACACTGCAGTTCAACTGAGTGTGCAGTCTGTGTCTGGCAGAGGACTGAATGTCAGAGCAGCAGAAACGTCACCAAACAGTTTCCTTAGCAGGCACTGCTGTGAGGATGTTCTTGCTACACCTTGACGGAAGAGCTGCACCACGAGCAGTTCCTTAGGAGTGCCGGATAATCTGACTACTCGACATTTGTTTGTCGTTTGGTTTAGGGCACCGTAAGGAGAGGAACGAAGGACAAACATCCTGCCTGGCACCTGCTGTGCTGATGGAAAACATGAACACCAGTTTGCCATCAGCTGCTGATCACCAGCTCTGCTGGAGGCTGCCACCTTCGGCAGGCTGTTGGCTAAACCCTTCATGACAGCGTTCCTTTGCCCTGTCCGCTCCGAGGGAGCTGGTGTGCCACCATTTCAGCCCTTCGAACCAGCCAGCCTCAGCTTCATGGTGCTAAACCACAGACCGTGGTCCTGAGTTACTCAGCTGAGCTCTGTGGTGCAGCACAGGAAGGAGGAACACAATTGTCCTCTTCCTGGACATGGCAGCACACGAGCTGGTGTCACCTGTTTGCATCATCACTCCCAACCTGCTGGTGTCTCCAGCAGAGCAGTGGACGGAAATTTCGGGTCTCTCCCAAACACTCTCCTGTTAAGTGACATTCACGGTGATGAAAACAGGTTGCAAGCACTTTTCTTACTTGTGCCTGGAGGTGAGACCTCCTCACTCAGCTGTCTGAGGCTTGTGGCACCTCTAATTACCAAGCTGGAAGGAAGAAAAATGAATAGATGATGCTTAGGATAAGAGTGCTTAGTACTTAAAATATGTTTACCTAAAATACAGCACTGCTGCTTTAATTTCCTAAAGTGCTATCTATTATGTGGTGAGGAAAGCAGAAATGAAGAAACCAGCCCTTACTTCCTCATGTGGAAGCTATCCCAGCTTGCCAGATCATTAACAAATGTTTTAAGCAGCGAAGGGAAAAAATTGTGCCATTTGCTCATAAGGCAAAACCATTTGGACTACTACAAATTTCAGAGTAATGTGAAAGGTTTAAGCAAAATAAGGGACAGCAAAAAGAGAAAACAACTGTAAATATTGATAAGAGTTAAGTAATATGGTAGCAATTAATACACATTTCTTATATGTTCCATAACTCTGCGAGACAGGCCTGCAAAAAGAACTACAATTCATAGAAAATAAGCTAAAGCAGTTAAGCCAACATGAATCCCTACTGCAGGAAAATAATTAAAATCAAGGAATTAACAGCACACAAACTCATATTTTAGCAGGAATCAATTGCTACCATTTCAAAAGGAGTAATTTAAAATCAGATAAACCTTTAGAACAGATGTTCAACTACACAGCAAACCCTGCCAAAGGACATGCGTTAAGGAGGCATTTAGTGTTCTCTTATGTGTTTTAAAATGGCTTCTCCTAAAAGAATGGTGCAACCAGGGTCTCAGGCTTCTAAGTACTATTTACCACATTTGCTCTTACAGAAAATGTTGTGATAAAAGCTGAGAGATTTCCTGGTAAAAGAGAGGTAGCATTATTAGCAGCCATGAGGCTTTTTGCATTCCCTAAGCTTGGACCAGATATGTTTAGGGTTATCAACTACACACAGCATCAACACAGCACTTAAATTTCCCTGCTTCTTGTTTCACAACAGCCCACTTTGACCTCATCCTGTAATCAGCACTCACACATTTTGTAGAAGCATTTCCATCTCAAGATGATTACTGAAAATGACATTAAAAAAAAGAATGTGAAATTCACTGGTAAGCAATCCATGGTATTGCTTTTCAATTCTGACTATGATTGCATGGGAATGTATTTCTCAGCAGTCATTAGATCAGGGATTTTGGGTTGGAGCTATATTTGATATGGAGTGTGGTAAGTTGGTGAAGCTGCTTTGATCGACAGTTGTCATCATTTGAGCAGAAAATTAATATGAACATATTTGTTTGCAGACACCCAGAGTCAAGTAACTGGAGGAATCTGTGGATTCAACTAACCTACACAATGTAAAACAGAAACCCATTCAAATACTGTTCATAATTTTTTCTAATGCACCTTTAATATTACCTTCAACTTTCAAACCTAAAGCTAGCAGATTTTCCAGTTAGTCCAAGGTAAAGTATTCAATTTTTTGGATGTACCTAGTTCAAATATGCCAGATCTCTCCAATTTCCTACTTATGTGTTAGATTTCCCATGACAATAGCTTGTCAGAAAATGTGAATGAGTCATAACTCCTAAGCCCTGTGAAACAATTTACAGGGATTTAGAAATAGGCAGGGATTATCACAGTTCACACACAAAATTAATACCACCTTTTTCAAATTCTAGCAGCATTCATTCAAGCAATATTCTTGCTTTGCTTTGAAAATTATGTAGCTCTTTATCCCGGTTTTAGCAGTCATGTTTTTTGTACAAAAATTCCAGCAAGGATATTAATAGCCTCCTTAATTATTAAAAACAACAAGTAAGATGCTCCCTATGCCATAGGAAATTCTAGCTTCTCTAGATTTCAATTTACTATGTTTATGAAGATGGTCAAACACTGAATGAAAAACTCAGTGGATCTATACAATATGAACAGAAATTATTCAGAAGTTAGATTATTAGACCTAATTTTCTTTTTTATGCAGGAAAACCAAGAAGCTGTACTTCAAAAAGGCATGCATTAGGCCCATAATGGGAGAAGTACTGAAATGGAAGCAAATAGATGGAAGTGATTACTTTAATTTCCAAATATTAAATACAAATATTTAAATGTAATTTCTGCAGGATGCCCAGCAAGCAAAACCCATTAGAACTTTGAGTCTCTCAGACAGCACTTTTAGAGATCTCTGCTGTATAGTTTTTCTTGTGTCTCAGCAGACTTTCATCTGATGTTCCTAATGAGATTAAATGCATGAAAATACACTTACTCAGTTTTTCTGGACTACAGCAATGGCTGTGTTTCCTATAATGATGTTGAATGTCCTTTTCAGCTACTAATACCAAGTCTTTGACAGTAAGGCAAGGAATGTCCCTTCATCTGGGTGAAATGCTGACCTCACCCAGTGGTGGAGGTGGAGTTTTGTCATTGATTTCAGTAGGTCCAAGATTTCCCTGCATCTGGTATAAAATCACAGCCATTCTTCATGACAAGTAAATATATAGTAATGGCACAAAAGATTCTAAATTCAGAATGAAATTGGAATTAACTGTGACAAAACCATGTTGCACAAAATCTTTACATTCAGTAAGATTTCAGAAGAATTGCTTTGATCTTGTGTTTCATAAAGGCATCAAGAGAGGTTTAATACCTTTTGTATTTATAAGGTATTTATCTAAACTTTTTATGTTCATGTGCTACACTGAAAATCTTAGGCCATTTGTCAATCTTTTAATCAGTAAATTATATGGTGATAAAAACCCCCTCCCATGTACAAGTTGTCATCCTGCCTTCCTTATAGATTGTTGTTGCATTTTAACAATTTAACTCAAATAAACAGTCTCTGAAAAGGAAAAGTTCAGATTATCAGTGAGAAAAAATGGTTTCAGCTTCCAAAGGGTATTCAGAGCATAGGAGTTGAAAAGGGTTTTGTTTTATGGGTTTTGTTTTGTTTTAATGTGGATCTCCAGAAAGTTGCAGAACCGCATCTCTTTCAAAAGTTTCTGATGAACACTAGGATCCAGGTTCTCACATGTAAAACCTCTATGTTTATGTGGGGTTTTGTTTGGTTGTTTCAGGTTTTTGGGTTTTTTTTAATCTAGGAAAAGTATAATTTGATCAAATTCTTGCCCCACATTATGCTAGCATACTGCTTTGGACTTCAGTGAGGAAGAAGCTTTATCTTACCCAGATTAGGTTGATATAAAGGGCATTCTACCTCCAAAATTGTTGCTAAAGTATTGAAATAATTACCTTTTTTTTCTTGCCTTCTTTCTTAAATTGCTGGATTTTGCTCCTGCCCTGCCACCTAGCAGCCTGCCTTTGGAAAACATAACTCAATGTCTTCTTAAAATTCTGTAAGGAAGCTTATTCAAACAGAAGATGTTTACCTCTTGTCTAAGGACACTAAGAAATTCCATACCCTCCAAAATTAACCACTGGAAAGCATATAAAACATGACAAAACAGCACATCTCTAGATCACCTTTTAGAGTTGTTAGCACTTGAACATTACATGTCTGAGTCATTAGATTTTTCCCCCCTTCCTGTTTCCCCCCTCTACACCATTAGATTTTTTTCCTCGTTGGAAGTGCAACATGAAAATGGAAAACAACATGAACTTGTACCCACATTAAATCTGTCTTTCTGTGTTTGCCTTTGTTACAAGCAGCAAGGCATGTAGCTCACTCAAAATCAATAGTGGCATGAACTCATTTGGTCTCTCCCAGGACAACAGAATTTGCCAGCTGGTCAGAAGGACTTTCATGGCTGGCAAAACCTTGCTGGTCTTCAGAGCTGTGTTTGACGTGGCACAATAGAACACTAAACTGACCTCATCAGCTCAGATACCTCCCTGTCCTTTGGGAAAACAGAGTTGGGCAATCTAGCCTGTTCTAATAACTCCTGGCAAATGCAGGCCAACCTTTTCAGTCCAGCAGTCACAGCTGGGTAACTTGTACGTCACTCCCATTTCTCGGGACCTAAAACAGGAATAGGCTTCCAAGCAGTCTTGCTGTATAAATGCTACATGAAAATTTGTTGGCTTGAATGTGGGGGTTTTTTTCACACTGTCAGAAAAGGAATTAATTCAACCCTGTCTCTCTGCAATTTCCCAGACTGCCTCAGTTACAGTCAGTTTTCAATAGCTCAGCTATGACACCAGATAGCAAAACAGGTACCTGATAGAGTACATCCTGTAAAGAGAGAGAATGTTTATCACAGTCATTTATATTGATTATCATGGCTTATGAACATCACAGCTTCATTTGATGTACATACAAACCAGCGACTAGGAATCTGTAACACAATACAGTACTGCTAAAAGCACACCGGGAGACTTCAGAGTTGAATTTCAGTGAATAAAATAGGTTATGTAGTGGGCTGGATACAGAGAGGTTTGCTTTTCTAAAGAATGTTAATGGTTTTTATGGTAGAAAAGAAAAAGGAGAAGAAATATTCACTGCTTTAATGTTAGTATGCCAGTCTAATATGTGAGCCTCTACTTGAAAACTCTCAAGTGCATGAACAAGAAACAGGACTGCATGATAGAGCCTAACCCTGTAAAAGCAAAAGACTGGCACAATAGCTGTCATTAACAGTACACAAACAAAAACTGCTGAAGTAGCCATCTATGAATGCAGGGATGCTTAGTCCTGCATCACCAGAAATAAAAATGGAGTTTTCTATTTCACTGACTATAAAAACAGTTGAAGTCCCACAGTCTCAGTGAGTTCAGTTCCACAGCTTCAGCATCTTCCGCAGGAAAGGCAGAAAGGAAGCTCCATCTGGTGGTGTGGCTGATTATCGTTGCTTTTCAGGTTCATCTGATTGCAAATACATTCCTGTCCAGCAGCAAAATGAAAAATCGGAATAAAAGTGTAAAAGATCACTTGTCCCACAAATGGAACCAGAGTTATCTAACTCTTTAAAATCAGAAAACATTCTAAAACCAGGACTTTCTGTTTGAAGCAAATGAGAGTTGAAGCTTTTCAATAAAAGGCACACATGATCCTGCCAGGGTAGTAATCTAACAAACATGAAAGAGTTGCATTAGCACACTTCAAGAGGTGACCTGCTGAAGCCTGGGGTGGGGAGAAGAAAAGGCAGGAATCACTGGTTAAAGGATGAAGGAGGAGGTGTGTGAACATGAAGTCAGGGTTGCTGCTGCACCTGTCATATAAAAGTTGTTGTTGTTGCTATTTATTATTATTATTATTGTTGTTGTTGTTGCTATTTTATTACAATTTGCAAAGAATTGCTGAACAAAGTGCAGTGATGCTGGTGGTCAGGTAAAATTATTTGACCTGACTTTCCAAGTAATTTTAGCGAGTATTTAATTCTAAGTATCTGTGAATGTGATTTCAGCAAAGCCACTGCTTTGCAGGATTGGGAAACATGTTCCCCCATGTTGATGGTATAAAATGTTACAAGCATTGTAAAGTATAAACCTAATTGGGTAGATGATCCTAGGTGTAGCCACTGAAGTTCTATGCTTACTGTCACACACAAATTCATGTCTGCTACTGCTCCTTCAAGAGCCCATGGCAACTTCTCTCAAGACATGCTCCTAATCCAAGTTTGTGTTAAACAACAGCAATTTTAAACACAGATGCACATAAACCTTATCCTGCAAACTCAGGTAAATAAAATACACTTTGTTTACTCTTTTGTAGTGCCCACATTTCAATGGGAAATAAGCTGCATTTCATCAAATCAATGTATCATTACTTTTTTTCCTAAATAATAGAACAGAGCCTAATGTTAATTACCTACCAAAAAATCCATGTTAAAAGAATGATGGGAGTTCAGATTCAAGCATCAATACACTAAAAATTGCCTGAAGTCACATTGCCTTTATTACCTTAATGCAGCCCTCTTTTATTTTTTTTTTTTTTTATTTTTTTTTTATTTTTTTTTTGGGAGCCCATCATTAAGCTTACAGCCTTTAATTATGCATTTTTAGGCCATTTTTCTTTCAGGGCTGTCTTGTTAAGCACACAAGATAGACAGCTACTTAATGGTCTTGTCACTGCTTTCCTCCACATTGCTTGAAGTGTGGCTGCAGGCCTGACTTATTGAACAGTATTCCAGTCCTGCTCTGAAGATGTGATCAGATTTCCTCACAGGATCCTACATTGTGCTCAGCACCACAGTATCTTCAAGTGCTTCAGAAACAGTAGACTACTGTGAGATGAAATATTCCTGATTTTTAGCATTAGAGAGCTAAGCTACAGAGAGGTCAAGGTAAAAAGTGTGCCTTTATTCTAAGTGCTCATTTTGGAAGTGTGCAACTTGACTTTTGAAATTGCTTATGAGAATAGAAGATTTTTCATGGACTCAGCGTATCACTCCATTTGATTTCATCTAGAGCTCAGTACTTCTGAAATCTGACTGCTTAGGTTATTGGGGTAGAAAAATATCAGTATGCATTAGGTAGCCAAGTTAGTTGGAGCAATTTGCATAGCACTGCCAGGTGCATAATGTCTGGAGCAGCAATAAAACTTAGTCCCATTAGGCTAGAAAATCACTTGCCTGTTTGTCAGGACCATCCTTTCCCTTTCTGTGTTCTTTGTAATTCAAAGAAAATGAAGTCCAACTCCTCCAGCCATGTAAGTAGGATGTGATCATGGCATTAAAACCTTACCAAATAATGTTATCATGATTCCTATCACCATGAATTGGAATTGCAACCTTAATAAATTTCTTTTAGACTTTTTGTTCCTACTAGCTTGGCACAATTCAGAGCAGTTCCTTTTACAAGCCATCTGCAGGTAATACATAGTTCAATACATTTTCATGCAGTAAACATTTAAGAATAAGTTCAGCAAAATATGTGTCCTTTGCTGGAGAGCTAATCTGCTGTAACTCTGCTTCTTTTTCCATTTTCATATCCAACTAAAACAAAAAAACAAATCCCACATCTCCTATTTGTTTTCACTCCCAAACTGAGGAGACATTTAAAGGCTGCTACATCCGTGATTCAGTTCATCTTTTCTAATGTCTCTGTAATATGATAGACTGTGAATACAACCTAATGGTGCCAAAACTGAGTTGTTTATCTTTTTACTCAGTGAAGCAGAAGGACTCACTTCAGTATGAAAATACTTCAAGAAGTCATACTGTAAGGAGTTCAAAAACGATTCAGTTGAAAGAAGGCACTTTGTTTTCAAAATAAAGATGTTCTTGAAGAAGTGGTGGCGTTCACACCCTGCTCTGTCTCCCATCCAAGAAACAGAAGTGCCTGAGCACAGTTAAAGTGAACAGAAAGTTTTCACTGCTCTACGCTACCCTCTTCCCAACAGCAGTAAGTAGATCACTGCTCACTCATCCCACTGGAATTGTTGCTTTGATTTCTGGTAGTAAATGCCCCTCTCCCCTACACACCACTATTTCCTAATCACATAAGGAGTGCTACCCAGACCCTTTCCATCCGAGCATATAACTTCCAAATCTAAGGATAACTCAACAAGATCAAGATTAGCCAGACCAGTCTTAGGGAACCAATATTTTGAGCCCCTAGTTATCTTATGAATTATTAATCGGGCTGGAGGCACAAGGAGGAGCAAGTTAACAACCAAGGGGGATTAACGAATTGATGAACTGAGAAAGACTTTTAAGAGCTATGGATTAATTTTCGGTGTGAATATTAAATGGATTCAGTGATTTAAAACAGCTAGATTACCTCAAAGACCTATTACAAGAGTAATTGTCTCTCCTTTGCAGTTTTCCTTTAATACCCGTTGGCCTTGAAGATTGCATTTAATTTCACCTAATTTTATATGCTGTTTCCCAGTTATCCTGGCAAATGAAGAAAAAATGGCATTTCTTATTTCTCCCACAAAAAAGATGCATTCATTTCCCAACAGAAATCACTTCCTTTGCACTCCCAAGAGCAAAACGTTTATCTTGGCCAGAGGCAGAGTGTTTCTATTTAACAGTGATTCCTGTCTTACTTTCAAATTTGAAGATTAATGACTCTGCGCAAAATTCTATGTTTCTTTCCTGCCTTATATTCAGGGGGGTGTCTTGTCACTATGGTTTACAAATGAATCTGTGTAGTCATCATTTCTTGATTCATGTTACAGAACAGAAGACCCATAAAGTTTTGTCACTCAGCTGCAACAAGATGCAAATTGCCTTCTTTATTTTTCACATTTAAGAGCAGTGAATAAAAGCAGTGAGGTGGTCACCTTTCAGTATGTTCTGCAGAGAGCTGTAATTCTCCAGGCAACCAGTGAAGTCTAAAAGCTTATTTAAGATGTGTTCACACTGGTCCAATTTTTGCTGTTTGCTTGATTTAATGGACGGTGCAGTTTCTTGTCTGGATTTTTTGCCTAAAAAAAAAATCCAGGCCAGGTTTGCCTGTTCCTTAACATGTTCCCAAACAAAGCATCAACTACAGGAAGAAGTTAATCTGAGTGCAACCTGCTAGAAGGTCAAATACAAAGACACAAGTTCTAAATATTAAATTAATTTTCCTTCTCATCATTGCAATCAGCAGCAGATTTTGTGTTGTGCAGGCAGGGTTGTGCAGGCAAAGAGCCAACTCGCAGTGGCAAAGCTTTTCTTCAAAATTTTTCTTCAAACCCTTAAGCATGAAAAAAATAATGGAGGAAATTTCACATTTTCCCCAGTTG